ATAGATAGATAGATAGATAGATAGATAGATAGATAGATGATAGATGATAGAAAGATAGATAGATAGATAGATAGATAGATAGATAGATAGATAGATGATAGGTAGATAGATAGATAGATAGGTAGATAGATGATATATAGATAGAGATGATGGGTGGATAGATAGATGATGGATTGGTAGATACATAGGTGGATGATAGATATCAATAGATGATAGATAGATAGATAAATAGATACATAGATACATAGACAGACGATAGATAGATGATAGATGATAGGTAGATAGATAGATAGATAAATAGATAGAGATGATGGGTGGATAGATAGATGATGGATTGGTAGATACATAGGTGGATGATAGATATCAATAGATAGATGATAGATAGATTGTAGACAGGTAGACAAGTAGACAGATGGACAGATGACAGACAGACATCTTTGCGTACCAGCCTTGAGCTCTTAAATCCACCACCCCTCACACTCCCCTCTGTCATCTGTCCATCTGTCTATCTACCTGTCTATCTACCTGTCTACAATCCATCTATCATCTATCTATCGATATCTATCATCTATCTATGTATCTATCAATCCATCATTCATCTAGCTATCCACCCATCATCTCTATCTATTATCTATCTATCATCTACCTATCCATCCATCATCTATAACTATCTATCTATCTATCTATCTATCTATCTATCTGTCTACCTACCTACCTACCTATCTATCATCTATCATCTACCCATCCATCCATCATCTATAACTATCTATCTATCTATCTACCTACCATCTTCATTTATTCATTTGTCTATTATCTATGTATCCATTCTATCTACCTACCTACCTACCTACCTATCTACAAATGTACCTACCTATCATCTATGTATCAATCTACCATCTATCTATAGACAAGTAGATAGGCAGATGGACAGATGACAGACAGACATCTTTGCATACCAGCCTTGAGCTCTTAAATCCACCGCCCCTCACACTCCCCTCTGTCATCTGTCCATCTATCTACTTGTCTATCTACGTGTCTACAATCTATCATCTATCTCTATCATCCACCTATGTATCTATCAATCCATCATCTATTTATCATGTATCTATCTGTCCATGTCTGATCTGTCATCTATATCTATCCATCCTCTATCTAGCCATCCATCATCTCTAACTAGCCATCTATCTATCTATGATCTATCTATCTTCATTTATTCATTTATCTATTATCTATGTATCCATTCTACCTACCTACCTACCTACATATGAACATATCTACACATCATCTATAATTATCTATCTTCTATCTATCTATCTATCTATCTATCTATCTATCATCTATCATCTTCATTTATTCATTTACCTATTATCTATGTATCCATTCTATCTACCTGCCTACCTACCTACCTACATATGAACATATCTACCTTCCTATCATCTATGTATCAATCTACCATCTATCTACCTGTCCATCTATTTATCATCTATCTATCCATGTCTAATCTGTCATCTATATCTATCAATCCATCACTATCTAGCCATCCATCATCTCTAACTACCCATCTATCTATCTATGATCTATCTATCTTCATTTATTCATTTATCAATCTATTATCTATGTATCCATTCTGTCTACCTACCTACCTACACATGTACATATCTACCTTCCTATCATCTATGTATCAATCTACCATCTATCTACCTATCTATCCATCTATTTATCATCTATCAATCATCATCATCATCTATTCACCATTAATCTGTCATATCTATCTACCCATTGTACCTACCTACCTATGTATCTACCTATCATCAATGTATTTATCTATCCATCCACCCATCAGTCTCTCTACCTACATATCTATCATCTATGTATCTAACTATCAATTTGTTATCCATTCATTTATTAATAGTCGCATGTCCCGATTATTTACCCATTCAACCACCTATCTATTATCTATCATTTATCTATCTATCTATCTATCTCTATCTCTCCATGTATCCACCTACCTACCTATCATCTATGTATCCATCAATCTGTTATCTGTTTATCAGAACTCATATATATCTCTATTTTTTTCACCTACTCAGCCATCGATCTACTATCTACCCACCTACCTACCCACCTACCTACCTATCCCTCTAGTTATCACTTATCCATCTAGCCGGCTATCATCCATCTACCTAATGTCTACCTACCTAACTACCTACCTATCGATGTCTCTCTCTCTCTCTCCCTCTCTCCCTTCCCCTCCGTAATCAATAAAAATATATTTTGAAAGTAAAAAATGAAGAAATGATTTAAGGGGAACCAACACAGCACTGCAAGGACTGCCCATGATTCTCTCTCATCATTCCTGTTTCTCTCTCTCTTTCTCCCCCCACTTTCTGAAATCAAATAAAGATTTATTTATTTTTATTTTTTTAAATATATTTTTTTATCTACCTATCTCTATATTTCTCTATCATCTATCCATCCATCTATTCTCTTATCTATCTATCTATCAACTCTATATTTAGCTATTAATCATCTATGTCTATGTATCTATATTTATCTATGTATCCATCCATACATCCATCCATCCATGCATCCATCTAACCATCCATACACCCACACATCCATCATCCATCCTATCTATCTATCTACCTATCTATCTATCTATCTTTCTATCTATCTAATCTATTTATGTACCTGTGTATGTATTTTTCTACCTATGTATCATCTATTTTATCTATCTATCTATCTATCTATCTATTTATCATCTATCTATCTATCCATCTATCATCTATCTATCTATCTTTATATTTAT